ACAAGCAGCTTCCCCAAAAACCCAAAACACACAACTCCTCAAGACTCCCTGCTCCTGTGATGAGACCTAAACATGATAGCTAAACAAAGAGCAACTGAGAAATTATAATTCTACACTTAATTTATGTTTTTTGTATAAAGATTATATTCCTATTGTAATACTAACTATGTGTTTAACTCCAAAAAAGCCTGTTTCGAAACTAAACTCAAGCGAACTAATACCGGTATTATCTATGAAGTCTATGGCAGGGGAGAAATATGTGAAAGACACAACTAAACCAGAGAAACAAATCTAATTTGCATACATGAGAATAATAAATACATTATATATATAAAGTAAATATATTTTGCTGATGTTGTATAACTTAAAATAAAGATGTATTTTATTTGGGATCTGGGTGAATGAAGTTGTTATAAAAATTATTATTGGATTGTATTTATTTATTATTCATTTTAAGGATGGAAACCCAGATAAATAACTAATCCGTGTTATTGATATATTCCTTTAAAAAGTATTGAAGCATTTATATGCTTTAAACTCTTCTAAGTACCTTAAAGGTAGTTATAATTACCCAGCTATTTTCCAGCACTTAAATATATAAAATTTCTTCCCCAAACAAAGATTTTCTGGTTTCACATCATTCAAGATAATATACCTAATTTATTTTAATCACAAGCCAAGCTTAGTTAGATTTTCTGGAGGCAACTGAAATTCGTTTAAGCCAAGCACAGAACCATAAACAAAGACACAATCCCAATAGGATCCACTTGGAATCCACTCGCTCTAAGAGAGAGTTATGTTTTCTTACGGCTCATTTCCGTCCACTTGCCCAACAACAACTACAAAGGCAATATGCTTCAATGCCGCTCGGTTGCAGCAACAACAATTGCTGCCAGCAATGACAACAACAGCTGCAATAGCAAGAAACTATTACATTAGACCAGGCCATAAACCATGATGGCCAAAATAGCCGCCCCCTTTACCTCCCCCTTCCCCTCCATCAACTGGCCATTCAACAACCCCTTCTGCTTGAAATGTAAATTGAAAATAATTTTCATTTTCTGGGCTTTTCCTTGGCATCGCCACTGCCCTTTTGACCAGAAATTGGTGCTTCTTTTGACCCCATTCTGTGGCTTGACCTCTTGAGCTTGGCTCTTCCTCCGCGGCAAGTATAAATGAAGATGGAAACATTTGCAATTATAAAGAGATTTAAATAAGAAAAATATAATCTTTTATATTATCATTTAACCAACTAGACCTCGAGCTCAGCAAATAAACAAAAAATGAGTTTAAATTGGAACGCTCAAAGTGTGTGATTCTCATTAAAAATTTAATCTTAGATTTGAAATTTGAACTAACTTAATCTCGAGTTCAGAAAATAAACTAATAAAGATTGTAAACTAAACCGCTAAGGAAGAATGGTATCAAAAATTGCATCTTTATTATCGAAATATTAGAAACTGTATCTCTAGTTCACTAAATAAATAAAGGGTTTAAACCTTACCCTTAGGGCAGGTAATTCCCTCATAAAATTGATTGAAAGATGATATGATATTATAATGTTAATTATTTATATATATCATTCTTTCATAATTAAATCTGTAGACTTTCTTGTTTATTATTCCAGATAATATTACAAATACTACATTTATTTCGAAAAACCCAGCTTAGTATTTAAGCGTGGAAAAAATAGCCAAACAATTAGAATTAGCTCCCAAGCGCTCCGATTGCTGTACATTTATGGAGCGACTTCTGATGTGTGTCGCCTTGGATGAGGACCCCAACGGCCCATAAAGCCATTCTCACGCCCAGCACTCGGCCAGGGCCTGACCTTTTTGCGGTAGTTTGTCCGCCTGCCTTTTCGTTTATGGCCTGGCACTGGGTTTTGTAATACGGTTGCTGTTTACCTTTAGGGGCTTTAACATTTTCGAGGGGCCAGAGCGCAACAAGCGGCACAAGAGCCGGACTTCGCGCTCTGCTTGCAGCGACCGCCAAAGTGACAGATCCTTCACCAAGTCACCAGTTTACCACTGTCACTGACACACATATCTGGTAACGTAACTATTCTTCTTCAGCTCCAGTTCCACTTCCAGTTCTTTTGTGGCCGCAGAAACCAAAACTTTTGACCAGAAAACGCCCGGTAGTGCCCCAACTTGTTGCTGTTGACTCATGCCGAGCACTAAAAACAACATAATTATTGTACATATTAAAAACCTGATGTATGTGTGCACCAAATTGTAATTAAAACGAAAAATGGTATACCCTAAGTCAAAAGAATATATGGATGTTTAAGAATAAAATATTGTTGGTGTTCATAATATTTTAGGGATAAATTATAGAAGTTCTATAAACGTCACATAAAATACTGTTATTAAAGTGATATATTCTGTTGCCATATTTCTATATCATATACCATGAGATTTCTTGCTTGCGCAATTAAGTATTAAGATCTTTATTTCTGTGAAGGTTCCATTTAAGCTGACTTCTTATAAATAACAATTACAAAATTAAATATTTTTTGTCCAATTATAAATATTTATCTAACCTTTAAATTTTAATTTGCTTCTTATATTTATTTTTTATTTGTTGGAAATCCTTCAAGTGTAACAACCTTCATGGTCACCTGGAATCTCTCTGTTCTTTCCGATTAGCTTGAAAAAAATGACACCAACATGCCAGAAAAGTTAATCAACCTCCCATAAGAGCAAAGCAAAAAATAACAGAAATAATTAAAGAAAAAACTGCGATACAATGCAGAGCAAGAGCAAGACCGAAACCAGTTTAGGTGGGGTATGCTATAGTACGGATCGGTATGGTACCCGTACCCCCAAGATGGATGAATGGATGGTCGGAGTCCGGACCCCAACAAGAGCGAGAGTGTAAGACAATAAGGCAGCTCAAGAACACTCGATTGCAGGTGAACACCCAACTGAAGAACTGAGGAATGGAAACCGGAGATAGAAAAGATCCACGAAGAATTCCAAGCAGATGCCCCACAAATGTTCAAGGAAGACTCCACTAACCCTTCCTCATTAGGCACATCAGCAAAAAATAAACTATAGATCGGGCTGCGGCGGAAGCACGGAAGTTTCACTTGTGATTAGGAAAACCAGGTAAAACACAAAAAGTTAGTTACGCCTGGTTAGCCCGCCATCCGAAAGCTCAATTTGGGAAATGGCCAAACAGTGGCCCATACAGTGGCCAACATAAACAAGCGGCCACGCAACATCAGCATTATGGATAAATCAGAAGGCGGAGACGGCGATGCAGATGGAGTTGGAGATGGTGATGGCCACCAAGAACAATGGTCTGGTGTCGGTCTGAAGCTCATCTTCATCTTCACTTGGCCCGGCCACTTGAGTGTCTTATTGTGCATGTTGTTTGAAGTTGAGCAGAGGGGCGGAGCAGGAGGAGGTCTAGAAAGACTATGTCTTAGTACCACGCACTAGACGGTCTGACCATGTCTACAGCCCCCTTTAGAAATCTTCCCCCTTTGTTACACTGAAATAAATAACCTATTACGAAGTTTTTTGGTTACTAAGACTTTGTTAACCCATCTATCTAGAGTTCTTTGTTTATATAAAATAGCAAAGACCCATTAAATCCTCGAACTTAATATATTTAATTCTTATTATTTTTGGTATTTTTAAATTGCTTGATTATTGAAATAGTGAATAACGTTGGAACCAATTTCTATTTTTTCAAAAATCGTTGAGTTTAGGATTACTAAAGTTTATAGAAAATAGGTTAAATAATAAACCAAATAAAATGTGTAATATTTATAAATATCTTAAAAGATTGGGATATCATATCTAATCAGGCCCATTGTTATTACTATTCTATTTCTCAAATCTTAAAACTCAGGTATCCAGAATATATTTAATATAAAGTAACTAAATCGTTTAAATATTTTTGAGGCAGTTTTTTAATCACGATTGTGTTTTTTAAGTGTACATCCATTGTTATTGCCATTCTTGGGTGCCCATTGTTTGTGTTCTTGCCGTATGTAAATTTTGCATTGAAATATGTACATTTGGGTACATGTGTGTATGCACGTCGTGGTTTTTGGAGGTCCAGGTCTCTGGCCCTCCCTCTTTTGCCCCCTAGTCCCCCTCTTCAGTTCCAGTACCGTACCCCTGCCCTATGCGAAGCGTCACTCCGTTTCATTATTGTTCACTTGGCCGCTTTCGTAAGTCAGTCTCAATGCAAAACAAACGGCGAAGAGAAGTTGAAAGATGGGAGAATAAACAAATCGTATGTCGGCTAAGAGAAAGCGACTGCGAGGCCAAATCAACCATATGCCAGTTAAAAGGGAAGTCGCAGCAAGAGAGCGCAAAATGGAGCTTACCTTTGGAGCTGTGTTATGGTTTTACCAGGGTTGCCAAGTGAATAGTATGTTTAAGAACTGTTAAAAATAAGTTTATTATAAGATTATTTTATACAATTTTTACTAACGTGTTTTTCATCAAAGCATTTGTGGTAGTCGTTTAACATTATTTTATAGAACCGACTACCGTTGAATATATGTAGTTTGACGATAATTCTATTTAAAAACCTGATTATAATCATGACAATTGATATGGGTAGACTTTGATGTATGTTTCTATAATGATTTGGTTATCACCTAGAAGATAGAAGACCAATACTCCCACTGACCTTAAGAAGATAACTTTCTCCGGACTCTTTACATAGAGATTTAACCATCAGTTATCTGTACCCCCTACATTGCACTTTAATACTGCCTGGCTATCTGAGTTACCTTGTAACCAATAATACTCCACTGCAATAATCTTATCTAGCATAGGACGATAACTCGACAGCCCTGCTGGGGCAGTAGTAACTCTCTTTTAACCGAAACTTAAGAGAGACAACCGCCGTTGTTGGTTGTTGTTGCCAAGATACGAGGCTTAGCCAGTCGGGTCAGTCGTCGCTTGGTTACTCATTTGTTTTGCCAATTTTCGTAGCAGTAGTATTCAGTTAGTAACGAACGTTCGCGCCAGACAGACGTATACCACGCCCACGCGTTGCCGCCCTCTGAAAAGCTGGGGAAAGCCAGAAAATCGTAACCGAAGCGAAGCGAGCGCGCGTTATACGGCATCGGAGAATCCGAGAAGCGGAGAATCGAATCGGACATCGGAAGTTCTGCTTTGGAGTGGAGCAGCGTCGTCGTGACCGAGGTTTCTGCCCTCATACATATACGGATAACTACTGTATATATATCTATAGATATATGTTTAACTAAAAATATAGGGCCAGACTCTAGCGCGAAAGTGGAAAGTATCTGCTGGATACTTGGATACTTTCCGTTTGGGGGAATTAATTAGACCAATATATCCCATGCAATCCGCGCGTTTATTTTTGTTGTTTTGTCAATAATAATGCCAAACTCTGGCCAAAACCGACATATACAAAAGCGGAAATGCAAAACAATAATACCAACATTTTGAACAACCAAAGTCTGTGTATTTGTGAACTGTGTCTGTGTTACTTCCAAAAAAAAAACGAATAAAATAAGATAAAAAACACAAAAAGTACATAAATAAATAAATAAAAGTTGGCTAAAAGCTTAGCCTGAAGCGTATTATATATTATAACAACAGTTGCTGTTGCTACCAAAAGCAGCAAAGCGTGAAGTGCTTGCCAAATGAATTTTCTATATAACAAATGCGAAACTACTTAAAAAGGGAACATATATAAAAATCAGTTAGAAATTTGTGTCGAAAATTAAGACGATATATGCTGACTTTTGGGGGACTTTGGCTCCCATGGTTTTTTTGCTTTATTGACGTGTATAGTTTGCCAATAATGCACTTAGCATTTAACATCTTTTGTATATATTTGGGTATTATGAGACAAAAGCGGATCCATAAACTAACCTCCACATTTACTAAGCAACTTTTTTAAATTACAAATTAAACCACTAAAAATTAATTCTAGTTCTATAGAACTGTTCCTAAATTGGATATCAAAACATCCTTATAATACATAACCCTCCACCAATGGAATTCCCAAACATTTTGTAAATATTCAAGCATGTAAATACACCCCCTTAAGGCTTAACCCTCTGATAACCAAACCGCATGGAGCTTAACTAAAGACGAACTAAAGACGGGCTAAAGGCAAATTCCGTTTATATTAACCCTCTTGCTTAACACTGTAGTTATATGTCATCCCCCCCTAACCAAGCGTACCCCGACCCCACCGAAAAAACGAAAAAAAAACGCAGTAACAAGTAACTGAAAACGTGCTGGCAAATGCTCAACGTGACCGTCGCTCCCTTTTGGCTAATGATTAGACCCGTCTTCTCGGGCATATATACCCCACATTTAATGCTAATTCTCATTACGGCCTGTGTACTTACTATACTATATATCTAACCGAAATCAACTGCAGCTCAAAACATCAGTCGCTTTAACACCGGTTCTGCTCTTTTGGGGGCAGATGGTGCCCATGGAACTATGCTCGGATATATCATCGTAACGCCGCGCCAGCTAAAGCTAATACTACGACCAGATCAGAGTAATCTGAATACCTAACCTTCGAAATAAACGATCTCTTGCATCGCATTAAAACTATAATCTAACTGCAAAACAAACTGCATCTTACTTACTGTGTGTGTGTTATGTCTGTAAATTTGGTTCGTTGTTATAATCCGTACCCGTAATACCACACCACACACCACACCTACCAATACCAAATCCAAAAGCCTGCCCGCTAACGATCATGCATAAACCAAAGCTAGCGAATGCTATAACCGCTGCCGCCATTGCCTCATCCATATCCACCAACAACAACAACAACAACAGCGGCAGCAGCTCCGGTGGCAACAAGTCCAAGAGACCACGTCAATTTGGCAAACACTCGATTGGAGCCGGAGCTGGGGGCCTGGGGCTCCTCCACCGGCCGGACGACTCCGGCTTCGACCACCTCGACCATTCGTCACTAATTGGGGATTCGATTGATTTAGAGCACTACATCAGCGCCATGGAGGCACGTCGACACGACCAGGAGCCGGATGTTTGGGCCCAGCTGCAGCAGAAGGAGTCGGACATCCTTTTGGCCGCCGAACTGGGCAAGGCGCTGCTCGAGAAGAACGAGGAGCTGGTCAAGCAGCAGGAGAAGCTCATCGAGGACTATTCCAGCAAAATTGAGGTGAGTCATGAGCAAGCCGTGTATTACCTAGAGTGCTAAAAAGTTAACAGGTGGAAAACCCATTATGGAGAGTAAATATTATACCTATTTGTGGGGAAGAGAATCTGGAAATTATAGAGAATTTTAAGTTGGAAACCAAGTGACTTAAGGTCTTATGACACTGCTTTAATTTTTTGACTAACTGACAGGTTTTACTTAAAAAGGTCTTGATAACCCATACAAAAAAGAGTCTACAACATATTGTGAATTTAAATAATAAATCATCTTCAGGTTATCATGACTTATTAAAATAAATCCAGTAAGTTATATCTAAATCAAGCACGTGTCATAAGGTCTTTAGAGTTATGCCCCAAAGTTTTACCTAGCTAAAATAATATATTGCTATCTAAAAAAAGATCTTATATCGAAATATTTAGATATATTTTCTGCATATCTATTATATCCACAGTCAAGTAGTTTTAAGCTGACTATACATTTTTTCTTCTCAATATTAAGAAATAAGTTGTAAGAGGTCTTTTAAATGTAAGCTGCCTAGCCATTATTACTAATGGAATTCTTCCATGTTTCTATATACGTCTTTGCTATCTGATTTGGCAAAGTGTGCGCAATAAATAAAATAATTACTTTGTTGCTATCTACACAGCAGTTATTTTTCTTAAAACGAGAGTTCCTAACAGTGTTATTTGTAGAGCTGAAAAAATATATGCATTGTCTATCAGTTTATTTACTAAATAATTCAAAATTCCAAAATAATCCTTATCCTTAAAAGCCCTCGCACTTATCAAATTGGCAATGGCAGTTATACCTTATTATCTGAATTTTGATTGACTCACCTGGTGATTTGCATTGATTATTGCGGACATGTGTCCGTACATATCTATAATATGACCCCTCATTGACGCATTGCTCGCATTCCCAGGTCGTGAATTAAATAGTACATATGGATATTGATTTTTTAAGCTGAAACACGGCACCTGTCCGCACATCCAATGCAGCTCTGTAAACCCAACTTCTCCCCAACTGTCAGCTGCAATTTAATGGCAGGGGGAGAAAGGTGAGCGGGCACTTTAACTATTTAGACAAACAAAAAAAGGGGAATGGAACTGGGACTGCGAGTGTACGGGTCATGTCATTTTATTGGACGGTGACAAAGTGTGCGCAGTAAACTACTAAACTACATATATCACGTAGGGGTATCGATTTTTTACAGTGTCTATCTACCACCTCGGCACATGTTCTACTGTAAAAATGATGTATGATGTAGTTGCAGCTCTTTCTGGAGTCTCTCTACGAAAATTGGCTTTATCAAGCACTTTCCTGATAACATGGTAGAAAAGCCTAGACCGTTCCTAACACCACCTAATGTTTTCAAAGTTTCTGTCTGCCGCTCGACCTTGAACCGCTCGAAATGGGTGGTTTGTGTGGGTGGGTGCGGTTCGTTCGCCTGTCACCTGTTCACACACATACACATAGTTTCAGGGGGAACTGACAATAGAAAGAATTTCCGATAGGTAAACATAAAGCACCCGTTCCAGCTATCAGTCCAAGTGAAGTTCAAGCCGAGGCTCAAGTTCGTGGCCGTTCATTAGCATATTGCTAGCAACGACATTACCTCAAACTTACCCCGATTAGCTGGCTTTTCCTAGCTTTTTCCACCCAGAACCGATAGTTAGGCTAATGTGCTTTTGTTGACCAAACCCGACACAATGTAGTCTTATCAATTACGCTCCCGCCGAACGATTAATGGCCATCCAATGCACGGAAATACCAGGAAATGCTGGAATGGTTTTGGGGACCACCTGATGGTGTCAGTAACCCAAACAGAGGACACGGCAATGCGTTGAACTTGAATAACTTCGGTGGTACACAATTTTTCCGTGGGTTTGGGACATATTTACATAGTTGGCTTAGTCACTTTTACTCACTTTTGGTATTCGCCTTTTTTCCCACTGGTTTTGTTTTTATTTTTAAGCACATTGAGTGACTTCATCTTCATTGAGAAATGAAAGTGCGAAGGCCAATTGCTGTGGGGCTAGCCGCGTAATATCCTGGTAATACTGACAGATGATGTCACCGGGGAATCGATATGATAATTTCAACCAGTTTGGAAACTCAATTGAAGTCATAAATCTCGGGACTTGCAACCTAAAACTGGATATTCATTTTAAAAACAATTTTAATTAAATTAGGGATACATAACTCTACATATTAACACCAGTAATTTATTAGTTTTAAAAGGCTTCAAAAAATTAGGCATTTTAAAATGCCTAAAATGTACAACATAGTATTGCCCTATTAATATTTATCAAATCTAAAACTCAGCCAAAACGATCTCAATCTCAATCTCAAACTCTATTCCCATAAAAATAATAGTTTCCTCACTTCACTTTACTTCACACATTCCATCACCATTACCAATTTAAATTAAAATCATTTGCCATCTCAGAAACCATTAGGTTTATTATAGAGTGCTCCAATTAAAAACCCAAAAAGCTAGGAATTCCCATGTTCCATTTTCCATTAGTCATTAAACGGAAATCGCTTTAGCCTAATAAAATTGGGCCAGGCCAACAAAAAAGGTCAACTCCTGACAGTTGAACCACGCCAATTGTCATTTTAATTATTTGCTTAGTTTTAGTTTTTTAAGTCATGATGATGGCTTAGGGAATTCTGCCGTGGGCCTGTCGCATAAATCTCTTGGATTTGGTCACCTTGAGTTTACCTCTGGTCTTTGTTTAGCATGTGACGTGAGGCGTCTGCCAAAATTCACTTTTATTTGCGTGTTTTTGGCAATATGCAAAATTGCTATTCGCGTATCTAATTAATTTCCTCAGCGTTTTGGAGCGCACAATGTCACTGGATGAGCCAGTGGTCAGCTAAACCAGGCCCATCCCATGGTATATATACTAAATATATGTACATAAGTCCGGTCTGTTGCGGACTGACGTAATTAGACTGCTGCGTTGTAGGTGTTTTGGTTCTGGCTAAAATGGCAGTAGTTTTGGCCCGGGTTTTCGTTATTGTCGTGGTCCGAAGCTCGCCCATATTTTGTATTTTATTTCGCGGTCTGTTGAAGCGTGTGTGCCAATTTACGAGCATTGGCTTGTATTTTTAGCTCCGATTTGTTTTTGCATTAACTTTTATATACCCCATAATATAATATAGTTCTGTGCCCAATTCTCACATGCTAATGAGTTCAGAGGCCTTGGCTTGAGTAGGGGTCATTTTTAGGGTTTTTCGGAATGAATAAGGGAGTGGGATTACTTAGAAAATGGTTCCTGCGTAAATTTATTCAAGTTATAATCCTGAGCTAAATATAAAAGGGGTTCCATGATCTCAAGTTTACTTAGTAACTAAATTTGATTATATATTCATATTGTTAATTTTGTTTTATAACACCTTATAAACGAAGTCTCACAGTTTTCAACCTCTTCAATCTCAACTGAAACCGCTTTAACTATAAATACCCCGCTCTGAATCAGTCTTTTATTCTCAATATGTTCTCAGCCATATTTCATTTCGTTTACGAATTTTCCAAGCCCACTCCATATTATCTAGTTCACAGACAATCGACCAAATAGTTGACCATTGTCATTGTCTGACTGCCAAAACGTGTTTGCTTCGCCCAGGTTCGACTACAAGCCCAGTTTTCAGCACTCTGGTCGAGGAGAACAATTGAGTGGAAATCAATTGGAATCTGGCGCGGTATTGTAGTTCGCTTTAAGTCGCTCGTTTATCACGATCTGCAGACAATTGTTGCTATTACTGGTTAGGAAATTTAAACCCAACTTGAGAGGATGAAGTGTTGCAAATGGCAGCCGAGAGTAAAATATATAATTTGGAACGTAGGCGTCTGTTACGGTTAGGCATTTAAATAATTCACATTACTATCGGCTTGGACCCCCTTTGGCCTTTTCGAAAGTCTACACCCCTGAATTTACGGCTTTAATAACTTTTGTTGTTTGGTTTTTATTTATTTCTGACATTGGGCCAACTGGTTTCAGTAATTTATTTTAAGAGCTCTTAGTAGAACGGCAAGTCACAACCGATGGCAATTTGTTCTCTGATCAATTACGATATTAAATTGAAACTTTCAACCGTTTCCCCGATCAAAGAATGCTAATGAAAAGGTAATTCCATTTAAACGTTCTTTGATTAGCCTTGATGGTTGTTAGTTGAGGTCTTTGTGTAAACAGGATATGGTTAACCATAGAAAATGGAAGTGAAGAACTATGGTTTGTGCTTAATGAAAGGAAATGCTGCGGGAACAGAGAGATGAGAAATAGCTGATGGATGGAATATTTACATACCATACTGTAGTTTCACTCAGAACGAAAAGATAAGGAAGTAATTAAAAAGCTTAACAATTAGGGTAAACATTTCCTAGTATACACCAAGCTTTAAATTGAAAAATGCCTTATATGTTACCCATTCAAATTTAATAATATAATTACAACATAAAATTCAAAACAAAGCAAAAAGTCTTTCAAATATGATTTTTCCTTTGTGTTATTTTAATAACCGTCAACAATCCAAGTTATATTTATATTTATTTCTCTACCAATCCACATGAATCATGCAAATGAACGTATCTTCCGCCTTTCGATCGAGTCCCACGCCCACAATGTCCATCGTTTCACTCAACTGACCATGCCAGGTGGGCGGACTTCTCGAGGCGCCCAAGAACATATTATACGCATAATGGTTACCTCTCAATCGAAGTCACCTACTGGACGCCTACTTCATCTAGAGTTAGATAACCAAACGCGTTCTACATGCGAATGTGAATAGGAAAAAAGTTCGACCAGGGTGCCCAACGTAAAAATTAAATCAAAATAAAACTCTCCTCACGTTCGCGGACCAACTTTTTTTATTTTTTGGCTTGAGGTGAAGTCATCAACACATTGTCGAATGCTGGCTTTGTTGTTTTTCCTTTTTTTTTTGCAAAAAAAAAAATTTCAAAATCAACCAATTTGCATGCGAATAATACGGGTTTATAT